TGATCTCGATGACGCAACAATATAATTTAAACACTTCAATAAACTATTCTTACCTTGCTGCTCCATTAACTAAAATGTTTGGTCTTGCATAATTTGTAACTTTGTATACTTGTATACTGTACGTGTTTTTCTTTCTTTTTATGTATAATTTTAATTAACTTCATGGTTCTTGTGTAATATTTCTTGTTTTTGTTTTGTTTTTTGTTATAAGGTAGAAGTAATATTTTGTTCCAATCAAAGTTTGATTTCACGTTTATAAATAGTTCTGGTTATTGATTTTTTTTTCAGTGAAACAGTTAAGCAACAAATAGAAACTTTCATGTAAATATGTAAGGTGTTCATATCTCAAACTTGAATTACGGAACGAAACTTCCATAGAAAAAAACTCAAACTATTTCAAGTAGCAAAAATCTTTAAAATGAGAAGGATTTTCTAATATAAGCAGTCGTCGAGAACATGTCTACTATTGTAATGAATCTTTTAAGAAATCCAGTGAAATTCGTTTGTATGTATCGTTGGCTTATGCAAATTGTTCATTCTTAAATACACAGCTAAAGCCTATTTTTTCTTCTATTTCCAATTTATAAAGTTTGTGAGTTATTTAAGCTTTAGTATAAACCTTTTATCTATATCTATTTGTATAGAAATATTGTTTATTTTTGTTTATGTCTTTGGTTATTTATTCTGGACATATTCGCGAAAAGCTTGACAAGACTGATAGACTAGAGGGAAGGTGGCTAGTCAACAGACCTTGGTCTACTATGATCGACTAGTGGGATTTTACAGCTACTCTTATAACACACCCACTGCCCCAAAGTACAGAATGTGATTTTCGACAATAACATGCAAACCATGGACATATCTATTTTTGTAAAGTAAACATTACAAAAATAGATAGGGTAACGGATTTGTTGTTATATATTTATTTTAATATCAACGTTTGTTTAGATTAAATTTTTATTTAGAAACATACATAGCTTATACTGTTAAATATGTATTGTGAAACCCCCGCCTATTCTCCAAAGTTGTAGAAGATTCTCGAGAGTAAGAATCAACAATATATGTGTGTAGGTAAACACTTAAACTGTATTGTTACGTAATCTGAATTTTCTAGAAAACCTTCCCACGGCTATAAATATGACCAACGCGACGTGCCAGAGAGAGTATCTGTTATCAGTTCGCTATAACCAGTGTGCTATAAAACTTCGGAAGCTATAACTGTGATTGTTATAACGCTTACCAATCGGAAAACTTCATATATTTGACCAGGAGCATTTACAATATTCGAACATTACAACTCATTTAATTTCAGTGGATTCACATCGTACATTAACGCTTTTACTAAAACATTACCTAACGTCATCGGCGGAAACTCAATCTCTAATAGGCGTATGATCAGCGAGAGCTACAGAGCTAGCTCTACGAAATGAATTGTATCTATATCAATTCGTAATCAACTCGCTCATCGTGAACCCTCGATAAGATATCAAGCAAGTTCCAGATTAGAAAGAAGACTTTATATTGTTCATAAGTTTGTGAAACTTTTGTTTATAAATCATTGTTTGTAATAACTATTTTTAATAATTGTTATTGTAAATTGTACTGTTGTGTGTATATTAAAACATATTTGTGTTAAAAAAGAAAACTGTATATCAATCTTGTTGACAAATATTATAAACAGACTATATATCGGCATATATTTAAATACTAAATCCAAAGTACGATTATGTATTAAATTTAAAGTATCATTTAGCTCGGTTTCAGACCATTTAAAATTCTAATACGTAACAATAGTACAATCCATAATTGCTCAAAAATGATAGATTTTTAGTATCTAGCTTTAAAAAATGTAAATTTGCATAACATCTAGAAGAACTTCCGAGATACTAATCTTTTTGATAAACTTTTGTTTGTTTGTAGTTAAGCACAAAGCTATCTGTGTTGTGCCCACCATGGCTATCCAAACCTGGTTTCAGCGTTACAAGCCGTGCCACTGGGGGAGGGATTTTTAGAAGCACAGTTATACTTTTAAGAATTGTCTATCGTGCTTTGTAAATAATTACATGTCTTTAAATGCAACAACTGTAACTATAGGGCAACAAACAGATGAATGTAATGCGGATATATGAAAACAATATCACAGTTCTAATAGTTATAAAATTGATAACGAAACAAGGGAGATTGTTACTGCACGATATGTGAAGTTGTATAGTCTTTTGATGTTGACTTAGAATGTCAGGTTTTTAAACAAAAAAAATCATTAACATTATTTTTTATGGTAAGTGAAATAGAAAAAGAAACAGACTGATAAAATTCGAAAAAGTCAAAAATAAAGTTAGAAATGTAGACTATTTTTTAATTTAGTCTTCAAATATTGTAGCTTGCTGTACAGGTTTTTCTTTTGCTTGATTATTAAACATGCAAATGTTTATCGTCATATCAATTTTTGTCTGTTATAGGATACACTTTAAAATTTAATCCTGCGACTAGTCATCAAAGACACTATTTACAAAAGAACAGTATCACATCTGCTCCATTACTGTATCCATCCGGTAGATAAGCGGTAATTCTGAGGGCTTATAACGCAAAAATTTCGGGTTTCGATACCTGCAGTGGACAGAGCACAGATGCCCATTGTGCAGCTTTGCGCTTAAGAACAAAACAAGAAAACCACAACTCTAACTTTCACATGAAGAGAAAAAACGCTAGTCTTAAAAACGATTTTTTAAAATAATAATGCGACTTGAGATGTGCTTAAAACACCAAAAAAGTTCATAAAATCAACCCTGTTCTTGAACTACCAACGTTTATTAATTAAGAGAGTTCATAAAATCTTCTTGAACTACCAACGTTTATTAATTAACAGTGATTTTATGTAAAAAATCTTACTCTTGTTCTTTAATTTTGTTTTTGAATATTTGAAGGATGTTAAAGTATTCAAGAAAAAGAAAGTATCACTTCATATACATATTGTTGCGTCAGCGAGGTCACGTGACTAGTATCACGCCACGTCCTTCTCGAACCGTGAGACTACTAGATTGGGGTAGTCTGGTATATATATATGTATATATATAAGACGGTTACAACGTGACGGAACAAGGTACTGAGTAATTGAACTGCAGTCAGAGAGTGTGTAATTGAACTGAGTATTGTTGAAGTCGAGCACGTGAGACGTTCGTTGAGAATTAAAGCGCGACTGTTGAAATTAAGTGTATCGGTAAAGTTGTATTCGGAAAGAATAAACCAGTTTTATGTAAGAAAGGACTTGTGTCGCTAAAGTTTCGTTGGAATGAATTTACGGAAAATTAATTAACGAACGAACGGAGGCGTAACAATATATATTGTTGCGTCATCGAGATCACATGACTACAGTGACGCCACGTTTCTAGAACTATCCCGTATCTTGGCGAATGCTCTAGTATTTGCTAGATATAGGGTAGTTTGGTATATATAAGAGGGGACAACGTGACGCGGTAAGGTAATGTGTGTGTAGACAGTGAGTAATTGATCTGCAGTCAGAAGTATTATTGAGCACGTTCGTTGTTATAGCGTTTGTTTAGCGCGATTGTTGAAGTTGAGTGTATCGGTAAAGTTATATTCAGAAAGAATAAACCAGTTTTTATTAAAAAAGAACTTGTGTCGCTTAAGTTTCGTCGGAACGAAGTTACGGGAAATCAATTAACAAACGGAGACGTAACAAAATGTTTGTTTATATCATACGTTCAGTGGCCAGTTATTCTGGGTTATAGAAATACATAACGATTATTTTTTTGTTTGACTATATACTCAATCACCTACATAGATGTATCGAGTATCTAATAGTAAAAATAAATACTAAATTAATCCATCTGCTTGTTGCAGATTATCACAAAGCAATTTTTAGTACAAACGTTGTGCGTTGTTGCTGGAAGTTGAGAAAGTAAGTGTTTTTCCAAACCACACGACCTGTATCTATAATATATACTCAACTTTATTAAATACTTTTCAAGTCGTGCGAAATGTAGGCCCTGTACGTATTATACATGTGTTGAAACAGTTTTCTCAATTAACATAATAAAATTACGTGATTACTTTCTAAAGTGGGGTTTCACCCTTAGGAACCTAGCTTTTCAGGTTTGTTGTTCTTTGGGGACTGTCGTGCTATTTCGTTTAGTTATATTTGAAAAGTTAATAGAGTATGCATTTTTGTTTCAAACAATTGATACCTAAATCAGGCGGTTTACACTGCTTATTTTGTAGTAAATAAGCACACTAAACTTTACAATGCTGCTTAGTTTTTGTCGCTTACAAAGTAAGTCGTTAGGGGTCTTGTAAAAGAGGTCCTAAGGGGAAACTCGTAACCGTGGACGAAGTTTATCCACGTTCGCATTCGCCTCAAGAGGCACGAGAGCAAACAAAAGACGTTTTTGACGTCAGAAGGCCTGTCACGTGCTTTGTTGAACGCTAACATACGGCGCTGGGCGACGAGAATGCGCCAGTTCGTGCAACAGGTTATTATCGATAAGATGTATAGTATTTGCGGTCTTAGTCCGGAAACTGTAAGTAAACATTCTTACTTTTTCTTGTAAGTGCAAAGTCTGTTTTTTTATTACTAATTCGATGTCTTATAAATAAAACTGTCGTATTATGTTTAAAACATGATCTATTCTGTTGATGTTATTTCATTTTTACATTTATTATTACTATATCACATTGATACTGTAATGTGAAATCCAAATAACATTAAATCAATTTGAAAGTAATACTGAGAGCGAGACAATGTTGAATGTTTCACTGTTTGAGTAACTTGTAACTATAAGTATCATACCACAGATTATTTTCTATACAGTAATTGATTTTAGAGCCCATGGTTTATATTTGCAGTTTTTCGTGCTGTTACCATAAGAAATGATTTTAACAAAATGCTGCAGTAACATACGATTCGACAGGCTGTTATTAATATCACAAACACGGTTGTAATATGTTGGAACACGTTCTGATTTAGAATTGGTATTGAAATTTCAATTACTTCTTGGTATCTTTGTTCATATAAATTATTTAAACTATATTCATAAGAACAAATGTATGTTACCTGGTCCTGTTTTAAATATATTATATATGATGCTTATTAAAAATAAAGGCTAGATTTAAATTTGTTGACTCGGTTCGGTTTTCAAGAGAATATTATTCGATATATCATATTACTTTTTTTTATTGACACCAAGTAGTTATGCTCCTCCCTATTTAAAAAAGATGTAGATGTTTCATGTACTAGTTCAGAATTTAAAATAATGTTATGATCTCTGTTTGTTTGTTTTTTTCTTTTTAATTGTTTCTCATTTATAGTACGTTAAGCTGTGCGAGTTTCCAAAATTATTAGTTCAAATGATTTCTAATTATTTTATTATCAGAGACCACAGTTGGTCCCAAGCCCAAGCCACGGATCGGGTGATGCTGGCAGTCCCCTGTCCCTAGAACACTGGTACGTGTCCGACTTGGACGCCTGGTTACGAGACGGTGAAGTTCCGAGTCAAGAACTCGCTAAGCCTAATTTAAACATTCAGCAACAGATGAATAATCTACTAGATTCCAGCTTGTCTACTTACGGCAGCTCGTCTGCAGAACCAAATGTACATGTCAGAGATAACTCCTCGAAGTTGACCGGTTCGGTCATCTCCTATCAGCATTCAGTTCATGTGAATATACCTTCCCCGGTATCTTCATTCAACTCTGTCCCTTCCGAGAGTCCAACCCTTTACGATACCGTTCTTCCCACAACCAACCTGACGAAAGATTCGAACACATATGGTAGCATATCTTATTTGCCTATACCAGTGCAAGAGATCAAACATGAGCTACCAGACAACTATAGCGGTAGCAGCTGTAATGATGACCTGTCGTCATCCAGTGGTTTTCTGCGGAACTTTATAAAAACCGAAGAAGAGGTAACCGGTTCATATCAGCTGTCACAAGAGAAGTTTCAGCAAGTCCAGTATCTTGCGATGGAGCAGGTTTCCCACGACATTGACCAAGCTTGTCAAGTGCTAGGAATATCCCGTGGTAAGTTTACTCAGTTTTCATCACTGTTTGAATTCAAAGATTACTATGGAAATACCTAATAAAACCTGTATTTTTCATCAGGAACAGTCCTTGAGTCTCATTGTTGGGGATGGAAGCAAATGGGAATTCTGGGACATATGTTATTGAAATAAATCGGTAAACACAGGATTTTCCGCAGATTAATAATGGATAACTTTGTAAATTTTTGTGTGATTTTTATTAACATTTATAACCACTTGATGACTGCTTAGGGACGATTGTTTACCTCTGTATAGTTTATATATTTATGGAAGGATCTCTGGCGTTTTCAGTACGCCATTGTGGGAGATTCAAACATTTTGATACTTGAATGATCACGCTAAGTAACGAAACACCTACTCAAACTGGTATGTGATTTGAACATTGTAAATTTAAAGGTAGTCAGTCTGAGAGCCTTATAACTACGTAGGTGTTTTGAGTATAAGAAGTAAATATATTTATAACTATTATCGGAAACCGAAAGCTCTATAATTCTGTACAATTATTAATACATGTATAGTAGGCCTTGAAACATTTTACACTGGGCTAGTTCGCTGTTTATACAAGTCAACAAATTAATACACATTATATATATATTTCATATAGTGAACTTATATTGAATGACCTTCTTTTTATGAAGAAAAAAAAAACAAGTGAATGAAAGATGTAGTCAAGACAAATAATGGCGTCTGTCATAAGTGAACATTTTTTAAACTACTCGTGATCCCAGGTGGGTTAACCGATCTATCTGAACAAGTGTTTTCTCCACCCTGGAATTTGCCAGTGTTCTTGTGACCCTGTGAACTGAAACCTTGCCCTTGTCATGACGAAATTCCCTCTTACACAACAACCAACACCCTACTTTCCCACGTCTTTAACATGTAGGTCACGGTGAGAAGTGTTTGGCAGGTAGATAGGTCGTTAAACTTAGTGATGTCAGCACTCTCGGATTGGTCAGTCAAGCATATTTGAGTCAGTGTGTAATTTTAGAAAGGTGTCACTGATAGTTGGTTATTTCACAACTTGAGCTATTTATTTCAGGCTTTGTAGAAACATATACCCAGGTGTGACTTGTTTTAACGGTCACTAAGCTATAACTACGTATATGAATTTCTTCTACCAAGAAATAACGTGTGTATAATGTGTATTGTTTGCCTCATTAACTAGAATAATGTATTTTAATTTTTACTATTCAACAATTATTTTTAATATTATTGGCTGTTAGTAAGCCAATGTAAGCGATATTGTTTTTACAGTATTAGCCTTTCTTCGACAATTTACAGTGTTCATACAAAACTCTTTATTTTATGAATAATTATGAAATTCTCATTCATACCGAATATTAACAAAAATAATTAACGGGAAATGTGTTATTTTCCTGTATGGTTAATAACATGTTTTGCAGTTAGCTTTAACAATAATATTAGCCGTACATGTGTATACATCAACTGTTTCATCCGAATAATATACTGTTATCAGTTCAGTTTAAAATTTATCAAAATTGTTGGAGGAATTAAGTATTATGAAAGAAAACAAGTATCTATTTGAATATGCAAAATAAATAGTACTTATACGTCTCTGTTGGTCGTGCATTGTTGTGCGTATAACTGCAAGAATGAGTCTATTGTGCAGTTACTGAGGGGTTTGGCTCAAACTATATTTAAAATTGTGTCACAACAAAACAAGGTCAGTAAAGATATTATAAAAGTTAAATAGAGCTTGTAAATCATAATTTTAGGCTAGACGATGTTGTAAACCTAGTAAACAAGTTTTTTGTTTGGCATGTGTTCCACCACAATTGTCAACTGTTGTTTTAACATAATGGGCGATTGTGTTTTAAGTTGACATCTGCAACATTCTTATTTTTGATCTATGGGCGACTAAATAAACATTATTGTGACATCCCTTGTTGAAAACTATCTGCAAGATTTATACAGGTTTTATTTTGTGTTTATTTTCTCAAGCGTATGTAACTAAGGCTTGGATTCACCTGAAAGAAATGTTGACGAACTAAGCCTTGTTTTTGTTTTTTTGTATTGCTCCAATTTCAAATGCAGAAAGTTAATTTCTTTCAAAAACTTTTGACATATTCTTTTAAATTATGGCCCAATCAAAGCTGAAAACAACTATATTTTTCTTAATACATACTCAAGGATTAGAATAATATTTAAGATAACATAAATGCGTGATGTCTTTGAAAACTCATATGTTACATAAGTGGAAGTTTGTAGTAAAACAAAAATATTAAAAATTACAACTTTAAATTCAAAAACAAGCTCGGATTTCTTGGGTTTTATAATAGTAAATACTTTTGGTATTATGAGTCCACAAGATCTACACATTTAAACTATTTTATATAACTTTGTAGTCAAACTACTTTCCCCTTCACCCTATGATCTTTTTAGTTTTTCTGAACAATGAAGGGTTCAAGTAAAATAGGTAATTTGATGTTAATAATAACTTGAAACCTATTTCTTATGTATAATGACTGAAATAAAATTAATAAAAGCTACAGTTCACCAACATAATCTAGTTCAGACAGAAACGTTGTTCAAGTAATATAAATAGCGTTTCAACAATACTGGATTTGTCGTATCTCAGCCACCCAGTTGAATCCTATTACTGGGTGAAAGGCCTCGTCTGCACTGAATGTTACGTATTATTATGTCATTTTTTACGTACATTCATGTTCTTATAATTGATATATTTTGTGATAATAAATGAAATGATCAATACCAAACAGCTGGATTTTATGTATAATATAGTATTTTCTTCGCCGTTATCATTATTTACGCAGAAATAGCGGAAAAGTGACTTTTGTTTTATTTTCAGATCCTATTAATTGGTCTGTGCAAGATGTTCGCGCTTGGTTTCGATGGACTTTAAAACAATACAATCTTCCCAGCATCCTCCTTGATAACTTTTCTATGAATGGTGTATCGCTGTGCTCCCTGACAGAGGAAGATTTCCAATGCAGGGCTTCTCAAGACGGAGCAACACTCTTTGCCCAGTTAGACATTTGGAAAATAGGTGATTATTCACTTCAATAAAAATCATCTCTAGCCTTTCAACTTTTAAGTAAATCAAATGATTGTAGGTTTGGTATATAATACTGTTTGTATGCATGGTTAACGAGTAGAATAAAACAAACAAGTTAAATTAATTAGCAAGATTCAGATTACGTTGAAAAGCATACATGAAATATACCGTGAACAATATACAGATATTTTGGGTGCATAATATTCTTTGGCGGCAAACCAACACATTCGAATATTAGTTATAAATTGCCTTTATAACCATCAAGGTCTCAATTTATTACGTTCATTTGTACCTGAGTAGGCCTACGAAGTTTTAGCGAGCAAAGTTAACAGACGTAAATGTTTCTCTTCAACGTGCAGCTTCTTCATGGAGTAGCAAATGATAAGGTTTAAAATATTCTTCTTTTTTCGTGTGAACTAATTGGCTGTTGGGAAGCACGATGTGGTACATTGATTTCAATGTGATTTAGTAAATTTATTCAAGGATTAGGATATTTTTTTTTTTTTGTCGGATATAGCTCGAGAAGTAGTCGACCCAAATTTTGTCACTGACTTAACAGTATGTGTATAACTGTGTTTTCTCACAATTACATATTTCCAATAATGATGTTGCTTATGCAATTACTTACTTTCTTTAAACATTCTCACAGACAAAATGGCTCATACAGGAAGTTACTAAGTTTGGTAGATGTCCAAACAGCAAGTTAAAGTGAAAATCGGGTTATTGACCTCAATCTGACGTCTTTATTGACGTCACGTTTCCTCTAATTCAAAGAAACACCACAAGGTGATATGAGAATATATTTGCTAACACCAATTTTTCTCACGCTCGTCAAGCTTGGCAGTGTTTGTAGTGGTTTATCGGATAGTATATGTTCGTTACATTGGAAACACGGGAAATTTCTTTGGTAGTTTGCCAAAACATATCTGTGCCCTTAGCATGTCTTAAAAAAGTAGGGGATTCCCTTGAATAATTACACACATTTGACCTAGTTCCAAATATGATTATACAGTGATAGGTATCTCCCTCCATTTCCTTCTCAAACACCTCAAGAAGATAAATATGTCTTACAGTTATGCAATAATAAAAATGTATTTTCGTCTAACAAAATGGAACAATTTTCTATACATTTGAAACTACTTCCATCATTAGTCATAAACATAATACTTACGAATATTAGTGGAGAAACTAAGATCTCCAATAATCAGCCTAAAAAAAGGAGGGATTTTAATGGTATCGTGATAATGATAAATACTTGTAATTAGTTTGATATCTTGCTAAGGAACTTTTTATTTTGGCAACATAATTTTACAATATGCCCCAACAACTGCCTCTAAACTTAAACCGAAACTAGTGATGTAAATAGCCGTGCATTTAACTTGACTTACCTTAAGTTATCGTTCTATTGTTTACATTTTTGTAAAAGATACTAACAGCTTCTTTCTGACATTTTCTCAAATGAGATATTTGCAGTCCAGTGTTTACCGAAGATTGTATTTGAACTCGATAAGCAATTCCAGTGATATTTTACAAGTCAATTCATAATTAACTAGTTCTAAATATTCCGCATATTGATAGTTGTTTTTTTTCTATTGTTCGTAGCTGCGAATATGCGAAAAAACTGTCAAAGCATAAGTACGTCACCTTTCCGAGTAGAAGACAGTATTCTTGACATGAATGCTCTATTAAACAATTGGTCTTCAGGCTCAGTTTCAACAGTAAACACATCATCTGCTCATACCAACCAAGTTACCACCGCAGGTAAAGAAGTACAAGCCGGACCCATTCCCGCTTCAGTAGGTCCTGGATGTGGAAGTGGTACTTTCAACAATCCCTTCGTCTTGGGAACAGAAAAACTTCCTGTTCTTGCAAGCAGAAAATTCACCAACGACAACTTTCAGAGTGACGGTAAATTTTTTTAAACCCCAATTGTCATAAACCAATTAATTATTTCGAGAGCCTACTTTTGAAACCCACTGTCCCTTGTTTTGTACATTTTCATCAGAGTTAATGTTCATAATATTGTTTGTTAGAAAGTCTTGGCGACCGTGGATGGTGGCCACGAATTGTACAACCCATTAGTCTAAAACATCATGCAGTTCTAATGCTTATTGACGTCTTGTTCGTTCCAGGCGTTTGCTTGTTTTGGTAGAGGGCCTCACTTCGGAATGTTGTTCTGCCTCAGGCAGAGTCCCCTTTGTTAAACTACGTTTGACTTCGCTATCTGTTAGACAAATTTTGTATCGGTTAGGAGTACAAAATCCTGTCGGCTATCGGAGTGTTAAGAGGAGACATCATCATATTCAAAAACAACAACAAAAGTGTATAACCCCCATAACTCGTATCTTCTTTAAACCCATCTTATATCTAATACAAGATGATAAAAACCCTATAACCCAATCGCTTTCGAAAGTTGGACCTTTCTTCTTCAGGGGCAAACTAGGAATCAATATATCTAATGGTTTACTCGACGTTTAAGTCAATTTGAGTAGATTCTACTTGCATTGTCTTAGATACTTTGTGTTCTCACGAATGTATTTCGGATTATTATAAATACATGACAAAAATATTTGATTTTGGTTTTAGTAACGTGTGTTATTTAAGATAAAACAACTATATCATCTTCGAAAAGAAAAAGTAGTTAAAATTACGAACCAAATGCTTAAAGTGTGGTTCTTCAGATAGTAAAGCTTAGATAGTCATGAATCAAGTGTATTTTGTTTTTAAGTAAGAGCATTTTGGATATATATATATTTATCAATTTATTTATTTTTAGACTCTTAAGCTTATGTTTGGGTTGTAAGCTCGACTGTCAAGTGAGCGTTGCAGGTTTCCGCGAAGTTTATGACAGTATAACTTAATACAGCAGGAATAGCTAGAGGGAACGGTGTATTTTATTCAACCAAGCTGAAATTCCATATGGCCTGTCATTGACGTCATGGGTTTCTATCTGAATGAAGTCCATATGTTAGGTCATGAGTACATTTGTTCATCATTCATCATTTTTTTAAAATACTTGGTGTATGTTAAGTTCATCCTATTCCAGTTGTGGACTGAGATCAACACAGATGCTTTGGTGCTAGTGAAACCGTGGTAAACATTTTCAGTTCTTATATGGTATCACAGTTAATTAAAATAAAACAACACTTGAATATATTTAAATGTTGTTTACGATATTTAAAAGACAAATTAGGGGAAGTGGCTCCATTTAAGTTAAATTGACCGTGACCCAATTTTCGTTCGAAGACACTATCTTGGGGTCCTACAAAGTACAGACTACTGTGCGTGGGTGTACTGTATGTACTCATGCGTAGGTTGTGTAATCAAAACTAAATAAAGTTCATGAGTGGGCATCTCATTTCAGACTGAAAAAAAAGACTCCTTAACACGTAAAAGTTTTATTAATAACTAAAACATTTAAATAAAACTACTTTGGTCATAGTACTAATATTATGCTATATATATGACTCATAGTATAATTGTTTGTTAACATACAATTATTATATAACTTCCTGTAAACGAATACACCAAGACTCTCTATATCTTTAAAACTTTTTGTTTTCATATATTTGTTTTACTTCAGTTGTTAGTTACATTAGCTTGAAAATACGAACCACCTTTTTATACTTGCAGATGAAACAAGTGAAGACGGCTGTGACGTGGATCGTAGTGGTGGTAGTACCAGGTCCGGACCACATTCACACATTCACCTGTGGCAGTTTCTAAAAGAGCTGTTAAGTCAGCCGCAGATGTATGGAAGTTGTATCCGCTGGTTGGATCGCTCTAAAAGCATTTTTAAAATCGAAGATTCTGTCCGGGTTGCCCGCTTCTGGGGAAGGCGAAAAAATAGACCGGCTATGAATTATGATAAACTTAGTCGATCTATTCGCCAATACTACAAAAAAGGGATCATGAAAAAAACGGAGCGTTCACAACGGCTGGTGTACCAGTTCTGTCCTCCTTACGGACTATAAGCTAAGACTAATGGCAGCGTTATCGAGCCTCGAGTGCAACAGCATTTCGAGGTTTCCATTTTGTAGTATATCCATAAAAATATTCACACATATATAGGTGTTGCCACACTGACCTAACTGGCTTTATGGTATGTGGTATCACTCACTTATGATTTCCAACAATTTAATTGTTCATTTGTAAATATTATCATGTTTAATCTATGGGCTGGCCCCATATACAAGAATATATATTGTGTTCGATAATAACATAATGAATGGGCTTATTGCAGTGACTGATCCTGAAGGTATGATTCTTGATCAGTCTGCATAGTTAGAAAAACTTTCGTTTTCAAAATTTAAAGTGCAAAAAGTTTTGTTTTATTGTATATTAAATTTTATGTTTACCTTAACTCAGACAAACGTAGTAAATGTATTGTCGTTTTTTTAGCTAGCATGCTTAAGCCTAGTCAGAAAAAAATATATAAATAAATATATATATGTTTATTTTACTTAAGTAGTGGTTTTGCCTAATGTTTGAGTTGATGCTCAGTCTCTGTTCGCATGACACTCTTGACTCCTGGTGAGCCTAACATATGGATTTATAATTGGATCCTAGGATGATTGTCTAGCAAGCAGTGATGCTGATGCACACAATCCACAAAATTTTAGACATGCTCCAGTAGTGGTGTTATGATTTTAAAAAATAAGTGGATTTGAAGAAACTCAAACTATGGTGAAGTGTTTCACATATATCAATGATATATATTAGTATGTTCTAAGAACACACTATAAATTCAGTTGTTCTCATGTGAGGCAACTGATATTTTTTTTCTTACATGTACGTTAGCTTATACTGTAGATTTTTGTTTAACCAAGTGTATAGATATTTGTATTCCTAGAGAAGACTTATTGAGACCTAAGTTGTCTTGTAAATTTTTTATTTGTTTTTAGTCTCGCACTTCTTTCGAGGATTCTATATTTTCTTTTTTAAATACTGGGAATAACAAATGGAAAGAAGTAGTGAGGACTTGTAACTGGTGTTAGTTTAGTATCAATTTCGATGGTAAGAGGGTGCTGTTATTAGGAACTTTTATTTACAATGACTCATGTATGTCTTGATATACATGAAATCATTTATTTCAGATATTATGTTGTGTGATTTTATGTCATTTTGGGGCTAATTTTTTTATTTGATGTAGTATTTTTGTACATTCCTTATAAAAGTAGATACTAACACAGTTTAGTATTACCAAGTAGAGTAAATGGCGTATTTTGGGTGTAGTAAAATTTTGTCTAAAATGTGGCTCGCATAAACTAATATGTGTTATGGCTTATATGAACGTGGTAAAGTGTTTTAATAATAATACTAGGATTTATTGTAGTGATAGGATTATGTTTAAACTTTACTTTAGTAAATGTAACTTTTCAGAGTTGAAATAAAGTTTATCTGAAATTTTGTGATTAATGTGTGAATACTCTCGCATAACACCATTTATGGCAGATCAAATTTATTAATTATTTTATACAAAACTGCCTTTCATTAATTAAGTATCAAGTCAAACTCTTTACTCTAGATTTATTGTAGGTAATACAGTAATTGTCGTTTAATATGGTAACAGAAACGATTTTTGTTTGTGACACATTTTTACAGAAGTAAATACTTTTTTAATTGGATATATTACTCTTATAATTTATTTATTTTACAGATTCACTTAGGTTTTTTACAAAAATATAGAAATGTAGAAGTTGTTTACCATTCTTTGTGATTTTTGATGTTTTAAGAACTAGGTCCTATCTTAACTGTCCGTAGTTGTAACTTATCCTGATATTATTATTGTTTTTAACTAGTTTACAGTTTATATACGACGATGTTTAAAACTCATCCAAAATTATTTTACACGTATGCTTATTGCCGAGTAATTTTAGTTTAATGAAAGAATTGGGGCATATTCTACTTTATTCTATCCAGGAATTTAAGTTTAAACTTTAAATAGATTATGAATACTGTTTCAATAACGTGTTCATATATATACAAATCGAGCCCTTAAAATTAATAGCAGTTAATATGTACGTGTATAATACAGACATTTCTCAGCACTAGAAAGGCAACTACCTGAGTAGTTGTAAGATGTTATTATGAACGGTCCCTTCGTATGGAGGTTCGTGATTGTGGCAATAAGATATAGTGAGAAGCTTAAAAAGTAACCTGACTAGTTTAGCCAAATGTGAACCCATCTACCATCCAACGCGTGGAATAACACAGTACTATTAACTATGACAACGAGTACAGCAATACTTCATTTTTGAGCAGCAACGTTTAGAAGACTTGGCACATTGCCAGTTTTAAAGAACGCTGTGGATAGTAGTAAAATTTTTCTAAGGAGGGACGTGTATAGATATCTAGAAAGTGAAGAAAAAACATGCATACTATCATATTTAACATACGTAAAGTTCAATCGACCTATAAGGTCCTATCTACGTATAACCAGACACGAACAATAAATTATTGCAATATGTTTTTTAATTGGAAAATAAAAAGATAAATACCACATTGGTGTATTTGAAACAAACTTCTAGTACGTTGTTTAATTAATATTCGTAATTTCGAAAATTTTACCGAATTATTTAACTTACGGTACGTAGTTGTTTTTTTTTCTCGCGTGAAGTTAAGTAATTGACTGTGTGTTCTGTCCACTAAAAGCATTCAAAAGTACGATTTTAGCGCTGTATGCCCGTAAGATTGATCCACACCAGAGGGCAATAAGTTTGAGAAAAATTAATCATTCTGTGCACAAGCAGAACCATCAGAGATAGTTTGGCTTTGATGCTGTTAGCAACATTCGTGATACTAAGGAAAGTGTCAATAGCAAAGTTCGAAATTTGCCTAGAGTCAGATGCTCAGTTTTTCAACGCTTATTTGTCAAATAAATATTTTTTTATAAAATAGCATATAGAAAAATCTAAGTTTCGTTTTAATATTTTCGGTTTGATCTTAATTCTATAAGACAATTAAATAATATGTTCCTGTACAGATTGCTTTTAAATGCATCTATAATAGAAATGTATCCACCTTTTTTTGTCATTAAAAATGGAATACAAACTTTATAGAAATATATGCTTATAAGCAAAGTCTGTGACAGAGTTATACAGACATTCTGCCTCAGACAATTTCTTTAGTATTCAGATATGTTTAATTATTAAAATTATTTCATGATTATATTCTAAAATTCTCTACTTGGTTATATTTATTGTTATTCATAACATTTTTATTTTCATATGCATGAAATTGTATATAAAGATATTTAGTTGGTCCCAGTTACTATTGCTCTTTAGATAAAGAAATAAATACACTGAGTCATGGGTTTTAAGGCTTGGAGAAGCCAACGAAGTGTAGAGAACCAAAATCAATCACTAAGCTTTGCATCGCTGGTTGATTTGTTCTAGCTTTACAGAAAGAATTATTGCACTAACGAAGTTGCAAAATGTGAAGTAACCCCCAATTTAAAATGATGAATTACAATAACGCTATCAACATAAACCATTACAGCGTCTAATGAGAGCTAATTCTTTTTATAAGCAGTAACATGATAAAAGCCAGTAGTACCACAGATGGCATCGTACGTCAAATGAACATTTCTCAAAAGACTTTAATGGTAAACTCAAATGTTTCAAGTAAACTAGTATTTAATTTGAAACAAGTATTTAGTTCTATTCACTACATTATTATGTCTGTTGATACTTAGGGGCAATAGGAATAACGTATTTTCCTAAGTTATAGATAAAATTACCAATAACGCGTAAATAAACTGCTATCGGAATTCGAAAAGATTGTTTTAAATTTCGCGCAAAGCTACGCGAGGGTTTTATGCGTTAGCCGTCCCTAATTTAGCAGTGAAAGACTAAATGAAAGGCAGTTAATTATCTCCACCCACCGCAAACTCTTGGACTACTCTTTTACCAACGAATAGTGGGATTGACCGTCACATTATAACGCCCCCACAGCTGAAAGGGCGAGCATGTTTAATGGGATAGGAATTCGAATCCGCAACCCTCAGATTGCGAGTCGAGCTACCTAACTACCAGGCTGATTCGAAAAGGGAAAAGCAAAAAGCACCATAGTCAAGACTAACGTTTATACGAACCATGTATCCACATATAAGTGTAACTTAAACTTGGCCGACAAACCTTACCCATGAATATTTTCATTAAAATTTAAAAAAATCGGATGAAGTGTCATGATTTGCAAGCATTTTACTCATGAGAAGTACACTCAAACCGGGAACTTTTAAGAAGTGTTCTATATTATTCAAAACAAAAGTAGTAAAAAATGATGAATTTCAAAAGTGATAAAAAAGAAACTTGTGAAACTATTTTATTTGTTTTTACTTTTCTGCCATCTAAAAGGTAGTAAACTACAGGCACTCTATTTTATTTGATTTTACTTTTATGTTGAATTCTGCCATCTAAAAGGTAGTAAACTACAGGCACTCTATTTTATCTGATTTTACTTTTATGTTGAATTCTGCCATCTAAAAGGTGGTAAAGTACAGGCACTCTATTTTGTTTGCTTTTACTTTTCTCCTAATATTCTGATATGTAAAAGTTAGTAATATCCTCGTGGACTTTAATTTAATTCTACATATTCAGTCTCTCAAGAATCTGTAAACTGTTTATTTTGCACACCATATCTGAAAGTCTTACACCGAAGATTGTAGAGCTGACTATTAAACAAGTCCTCTATTTCACTGTTAACTTTAGGGTTATTCGTCTTTAAGGGCGTATATTTTGACTGTAATGAGGGTTTATCTTCCAAAACAAAGATAGTTACACCATGTTTGATTAACAATAATTTCATAATTACATGATTTGAAACTCAAAATTCCTTAACCCTAGATTGAATAGATTGATATACACATCCTTTAAACTGGTGTAATAAATTTCTACTAATAAAATTATAAAGTATTATTTTGGAATATTTCCTTTGCTTTTATTATTATTTTAGTATTTTCATTTATTTATTTATGTGTTTATTTTTTGCTGAAAAGAACAAATGTTGCTTTGAAATATTAGATGCTTCCTGTATCTAAGTTCTGATTGGTTAGCATGCACCTTTACTATATATAACGCTAGTGTCCTGCATTGTAAACTACGTGTGGCTATAACATACACCAGACATTAGATCTGATGAAGCTGTATGACAAATCTAAAAAGTAAGATAGAAGTATAAGTGAGTTTCTTATACTTGAGTTGTTATTTTTTTGATACACAATGGGCTGTCTACGCTCTGTACATCACGTGAAATCACGTAACTTTACCTTTGACCTATCTGGGGTCTTGTTAGACCTGTAAAGTAGACAAAAAATACAGATAATGTGTATCCAGCAAATGAAAAATTAAAATGTAATTTATAATAATGTTAGTTATACTCTATTTAAGCTGACTTTAATGTGTCGCATTTGAATTCCATTTAAAAGACTAATTTAATATTACTATTTCAGCGATTAATGCCCAAGTGGAGGTTGTAACTTGTAAGCTGTGCATATTGCATGACAACACCTAGGCCTAATGCCTGACCCTCATTTATCAAGCTAAAAAATCAATCATTCAGAATCATGATACGTTCTGTGATTGAAATTTTGAGCGTTTACATTATTACAGTTTCACAAGTGGTGAATACGCCTTACATACTGTTACGACTGAAGTCATGCGCGCTGGAGTTTCTAGAAGGATCATGAATTATCGAGGAACTCCGCGAATGTCCGAGTGTTTGCCAGTGCCCTCTTTTTTAGTATATAAGCTTGGCGAGAAAAACCAACGCAAGGGCAGAGATAGATAGATTGAAGAGATAGATAATTGAGTCAAGAGAACAGTAGGCACCGTAAGTAAAGTGTGTGAATTGCTGTGATTTATAGCGTGTGTTATAATCGTTGTTAATTCGATGACGAGGAACCCACTTTGAGACTAATAATGGCTGGAGACGGCTTGAATGGGTAATGAAGAAAAACTTTAATATAAGTTTAACATAACAGCAAATGTACAACGCCATCAGATGATGACAAAACCTTGTCGAAACGTTGTACATTTGCTGTTATGTTAAACTTATATTAAAGTTTGTCTTCATTACCCATTCAAGCCGTCTCCAGTCATTAAAGGTTGTTAAGTTTAAGTAACTG